AGTGCTCCTGGGAGAAACCATCCCTCCCCCGCAGACCCTTCAGCAATTCTGCATCCTGAAGTAGATCGTGAGCTCACAAAATTGGCTTTACAGCATCTCCTTTACGAGCTCACACATATGGTCTACCATCCTACTCTGAAATATGGTAGTACTTAGCTGTTTTTTCTATCTCAAGCTTCGGGGGTCTTAGTGGAAACTTAGACATAAAAAGAAAGCTCCATTTTGACAAATATCAACAAAGTGTTTTGACAAGTGCTATAATAGCATGAAAGCAGAGACGGACCTCTCTTTTTCCTGGAGGAATTGGAAATGCTTTCACAGAAAAGGTGATATTTGAACGCTTTCCAGGCAGAAGGTGTATTACAGGCAAAAGTGTGAAGGTACATAAGGGAAGCTTGCTGAAGAATGAGGAACAGTGAGCACATAATGTGTGTACTGGGTAACAGTGGGCGATGAACCTCAAAACTCAGATCACAGAGGTGTCATATACCATGTGAGAGAGTTTGGCCTTCCACTGAGTACAAAAGGGAGTCACTGAAGGGGGTCTGGTAGAAGCGAGGTTTGAGCAGTTCAAATAACCTGGGAGTCCATGTGAAGGCTAAGCTGGAGGGAAGAGAAACAGGACGGTAGAGCAGGTAGGAGGGACTACAGTGGAGACAGGAGGGGAGGTAGCTCTCAGGCCTCCTGCTTGATTATTTGCATATATTTTGACTTCCACAGCATTATGCTTACAGAGACAACTCATGTTTATGCTGAATTTTCCACTGAGGTCATACGCTATTTTTAGAAATGCATTCTAGGCAAAATATATATAAAGTGCAGAATAATGCCTCCAAACACAGGACTTTATTGCCCCTGAGAAAAAGAAAACATTTGTGGTCTTGTTTCTGATTGTATTAATCCTTATCAAAAGTCACGAGAATTATTTTATAAGTCAAACAAGGTAGATAAGTCTGTCATACAGCAACAACTTTCCAGACAAACAAAATTAGATATAATCACCAACATCTGAATTGCTCTGGGAGCAGCACTCTCTGGCCTTAAAGGGTGTAGAGCTGACTGCTCCTATGAGGGAGATTTCTAGTGGGAGCATCAGAGGTACTCCCACTGGGGGTTCTGAATAGCCCCCTTGACAGGGCAATGACTTCTGGCTTCTAATTCTTCTCTCCGCCTCTGGCCATGCAGAGCCACAACCCCTCCACTGGAGTCATGCAGAGCCACAACCCCTCCACTGGAGTCACTGCCCTCTTCCGGCTATCTTCTTGGACAGAATTCTAAAGTGGCTCCAGGCTATTGCACTGCAGTGAGTCCCATGCCTGGTCAATGCGAAACACTTAAACACTCTTGCCAGTCATCATGGGTGAAAGTGAACCTTATTCCCCACAAAAGCCTGTCTCTCTCTGCTCTGCCAGCAGGGATGTGACCCCATTCCCAGGCCCATGATCTCAGAGTTCTCAGGCACAGAACCAATGACTATCCCCTTGCTCTCACACCCCATAGGATTTCTGTTTTTCTCTTTGGACGGTCCTGTGGAAGTGCTCTTGCTATACTTGCGGGGAGAGGGAAGTCCTTCCCTCCACTCCCTCACTGCAGTCTGGGAGAGAGACCACGCAGCACACACTGTCAGTGCTCCTGGGAGAAACCATCCCTCCCCCGCAGACCCTTCAGCAATTCTGCATCCTGAAGTAGATCGTGAGCTCACAAAATTGGCTTTACAGCATCTCCTTTACGAGCTCACACATATGGTCTACCATCCTACTCTGAAATATGGTAGTACTTAGCTGTTTTTTCTATCTCAAGCTTCGGGGGTCTTAGTGGAAACTTAGACATAAAAAGAAAGCTCCATTTTGACAAATATCAACAAAGTGTTTTGACAAGTGCTATAATAGCATGAAAGCAGAGACGGACCTCTCTTTTTCCTGGAGGAATTGGAAATGCTTTCACAGAAAAGGTGATATTTGAACGCTTTCCAGGCAGAAGGTGTATTACAGGCAAAAGTGTGAAGGTACATAAGGGAAGCTTGCTGAAGAATGAGGAACAGTGAGCACATAATGTGTGTACTGGGTAACAGTGGGCGATGAACCTCAAAACTCAGATCACAGAGGTGTCATATACCATGTGAGAGAGTTTGGCCTTCCACTGAGTACAAAAGGGAGTCACTGAAGGGGGTCTGGTAGAAGCGAGGTTTGAGCAGTTCAAATAACCTGGGAGTCCATGTGAAGGCTAAGCTGGAGGGAAGAGAAACAGGACGGTAGAGCAGGTAGGAGGGACTACAGTGGAGACAGGAGGGGAGGTAGCTCTCAGGCCTCCTGCTTGATTATTTGCATATATTTTGACTTCCACAGCATTATGCTTACAGAGACAACTCATGTTTATGCTGAATTTTCCACTGAGGTCATACGCTATTTTTAGAAATGCATTCTAGGCAAAATATATATAAAGTGCAGAATAATGCCTCCAAACACAGGACTTTATTGCCCCTGAGAAAAAGAAAACATTTGTGGTCTTGTTTCTGATTGTATTAATCCTTATCAAAAGTCACGAGAATTATTTTATAAGTCAAACAAGGTAGATAAGTCTGTCATACAGCAACAACTTTCCAGACAAACAAAATTAGATATAATCACCAACATCTGAATTGCACTCACAAATTCTTTGCTCCCATGTTCTTGTTTTTTAATAGATTATTTGGAAATAATCTTATCCTTGATGCTACTTGTTTCTTCCAGACTCTACCACGCACATGGACAATTACTGTTTTCATGGAAATGTGGAACTTGGTGTCTTCTGAAAAGTAATAGCTAAACCATGTAAATCCAGGCTAGGCCATCCAATTTGGTTCCTTTTTGAACAATTCCACTTCAATTGTTCCCCACCTCAAGGATAAGAGGATTATTTCCTCAACATTACTCTCTCACCCTTGTATTTCCTTAATTGGTTTCCCTATTGCCTATAATATCAACCTTTACCAAACATTATGATAATCCTATTTAAGTTTTCAATGGGATTATGACATTTTTCTTAATTAAACATGAAGCAAATTTCAGTACTGAAATCTCACTAGAAAACACAGAGGCTTCTTGTTGAACAGTTTCTAAATGTCCTTCCCCTTACCAGTCATGACTGCAGATCGGTATCGACCACAGAAAAAACCCATTGGTCACATGACTGAGACACCCCAGAGAGGGGCTCCCAAGTCCACTATTGTCCTATAGGAAGTTCCCACCATGAGCCTCAAGCGCTGCTTTCCTAACCCCACACCTTGCCCAGGCTCCTTGCAGGCCAGTCGATGGCACCTTCATCTAAGCCCTGCATCAGACCCAGTGCATAGTAGGCCTTCAGCAAATGTGGATTGAATTGTTTCATTCAATTTTATGTTATGTAATGACAACCCAACCTCTTAGAAACCAGGTCACAAAGATTCTGGAGGGTTTTCTTTTTTCTTTTAGTTTGCTCCACAAGCAGCAATTGTTTTACTGATTTTACAATAAAAATTAAATAAAGAAGAATCATTCATAGAAGGAAGTAGAGCTTCAGTGATTGAAGGCCACTTCACCTATCTCCCTAGCTGTGCTTTGGTCTTTACTGAGTAGATACACCTTTAGCTTTAAATAAAGAGAGAGGGAGAGGAAGAAGGTTAGACATACTGGGTCGTAAGCTACAGAAAGCATTTCTTAAGACTACTAATTTGGGTGCAGTACAGGATCAATTCAATTACTTGGGAAGGTCTGCTTTGGAGAAGACACCTAGGAAGGGCAAAGGGGCATAGCTTCTAACCTGCTTGGACTTTTTTTTTTTCCAATTTGAAAATTTGTTTATTAAAAGCATTCATTTGACGTATTAGAGCAGGCTACTCTTTGCTGTTGTTTCCATTGCCCTTTTGGGTGTTTTTTTTTTGTAGATAATTATTTTTTATTGAGGGGTAGTTGACACACAGTATTACATTAGTTTCAGGTGTACAACACAGTGATTCAACATTTATATACATGATAATTCTAGCTACCAGCTATCACCATACAAAGTTGTTACAATATTTTGACTATATTCCTTATGCTATACATTACATCCCGGTTA